TGAAAAAAAATTAAACCTGATTGAAATCTTTTGGTAAAAAAAAAACATTTTTTCCATGGTTCTTTACAAGGTTGTTCTTTTTTCTTTTTTTCCGAGAAATTAAACCATATCTAAAAAGAATCAGTTAGAAAAAGGATGGGTAGATAAATGCAGTGTCACATGAAATTGAATCTGATTGGCTGTTAAGACTGCAATAAACAAGCCTATCAAGAATTAGGGAAGCTTCATTTCTTAGGAAAAATAGTTTTATCTATCTAAAACTAAGTACATGCTGTATTTAAATAGAAGCAGAAATGTGCCTTGTGTAAAGATCCATTTTTTTCTAGATTCAGAAGGTTAAATTTGAAGCCTTCAAGTGATGTTTTCCAATACATCATGGGTGTAAAAGAGGTGTAACATTCCTAAAGAATTCCTGTGGTCTTAGAAATATGATCTCCTATTCTCATTGGAGAAAAGCAAGTTATAATCCACTCTGGGCTTTGCTGTCACAGGAGAGAGAAGGTGCTGGGAGGAAAGTACAGTGATCTTCAGTGCCAGCTGGACACAGTGATCAGAGACTTGAGGCTAGGTAGAGTGTAGCAGAAGAAAGGAATAACTCCATTTTCCTCAGAGCAGGAGCTACAGCTAGAAATCAGCACTTCCTCACCAGCCAGTTGATGTGTAATGCCTGGGATTCATTAACAGCATCACGGGCATAGGGATCAAATTCAATTCCAGAACAGATTCATAAATAGCAAAAACATGTGAGTTTGTGTGAGACAACTGTGACTTCAGAAACAAAAATACGGGGCTTCTGACAAACAGTGCAAGCGGGTTTTTCTTAATGATGAGAGGATCGTGAAATACATTCCATTTGCAGTTGTGACCTCTTTCAGGTTTCTTCCAGAAACCTCTCGGTACATCAGAATTTCTTGGGGGATTTACCAAGGAGAATGTGATTTGTGAAAAAAATATCCTTTTCTCTTTCTTTTCTTTAGTCATTAGAATGAAAATGGATATGATACAATAATATGTTGTCTAATTTCCCAGAAATTTTGCATCCAAGCAGTTTGTTTTACTTGGTACTTAGCCAGAACAAAACACACCAGCCAGGGTTTGCTCACTCAGTAGTTCTAATTATACTGTGTTACCCCACTGCTTAGAAAGTTAATTTTGAAAATTATGATTTTTACACAGAGACTTAAAAAACATTCATACAGGTCATTTAAGCATTACATTTAAATAAACACAACATTACATAGAAGACATCAATCCATACAAAGTCATTATGCACTCCTACAGTACTCCAGAACGCAGAACCACCAACAATCATCCTAAGCCCCTAGAATTGCACAACACACCTCATTTTGTACACATAACTACTAATTGCATTTGTACATAAACATCAAATATATATATATATCCTTATTGTGTAATACACAATACTCCTTTATTGTGAACTCATTTATTGAGTAGTTTGTGAAGATAAAGATAATCCCCAACTACACTGTGTATCCCTCAGGATAGACGTGCATGAATCAAAGACATGTGGATAGGCCACTTCCTAAAGTCATTTATAATGAATGCATTGCTTTTGTATATATTTAATATATTCATGCTGACACTGATGAGTTATTTATGAGTTTTATACAAAGACAGCATATGACAAACTTCACAAATATGTATATCTTGTATAATGGGTTGGCATATTTTTGCTACCTCCTTGTGATTAACTGAAATTAATATTGTGCTTTTTGTGGTAGGACCCTCAGGACAGCTGAGAAAAAAAAGTTTCATTTAACGCAATGTGAGTCAAAGAAATAGGAAGGCAATAATGACCATGGAAGAAATTAAATTCATTTGCGAATGGGGCAGGTTTGCACACTACTCATTAAAAATACATTTGTGAAGCCTACGTGTTCTGTGCAGGAAATGGCATGTTGTTCCATAATTGAAGAGACTTAGAAGGCCTTCCTGTAAAGCTCCCTTTCTCAGCTCAAAACAGGCCTTTAGCGCCACACACTTGAAAGTGCAGAAGAATACTTTTTAAAGATGTTGTGCTGCCACCCAGTGGATAGTTATGAGAATGCTGGCGGTGACTGGAGAGGCCCTAAATCAGGAACTGACATAGCTCCTTATAAAGTATTCCTTAGTTATCATTTAACAGAGCAACTTTAATTACAGCCACCTTTGGCTTGTACTGAGAGAGACATTTTTTGGTGAGCTGACATAATTTCTTTACAACTTTAGGTTTGTGTTTTATGTAATTCCGCTTGATTTAGTAATCCAAGATAGTGGCTCCAAATAAATCAGATTTAAGGTAGGATGATAAGGACACCCTAGATAAATGTTATTGTTCAATAACAAGACAGTCTCCTAGGAGATCTTCTGCAGGATATGTGCATTTTTTCGGTCTTTCTGGGTAAAGGCATTGGACCAAGAGTGGTGTTCTTGAGGCACTCCTGCGTCTTCTGGTGTTTATTTCAGCTGAGGTCTTCAGTGAAGGATAATTGATTTCATTCTTCTGAATGAGACATGTTCTAAAATTTGCTTTCAGCTCTTAAAATTGTTGAATTGGAATAGCATCAGAACTCTCCTCATTCAGCTTTGTTAGCTGAAATGTAACCTACTGCACCTCCATAGATTAAAAAAAAAATCAACTCTGGGAGTATTTGATACCTAATCATTCTCATCATTGTCTGTTATAAATTGATCACCTTTGCAGAGCAGAGTTAAATATAAGTGAGCAAATTCAATATTAACAAGCATAGCTATGTTTAATACAACGAGGCAATTTTGAAAATACGGACTGAGTGTCGAAACAGGTAAAACAAAGGTCTAACCAGGCAAGCCATCAAGAAAAAGGCATTGATCAACACAAGTAATTAACAACTCAGTTTGGGGATCAGCCCAGGACCAGAAGTAGGAACCATTCCTCTAGAGGACTGGATTTTAGGACCTAAGTATAATGAAAATAGGTTTTGCACAGCATTTCTTAACTGAAAGGTTAATTTGTTAAAAGCATTCATGTGTTGTGGCAAAAGAATAATGTGCCTAAAAAGTGGACTATACAGTATCTCCACCCACTTCCTGCTGCCAACATAAACCCCCAGCAATTTCCACAAGACATTTGGCACATGCTTTGCATGGTGTGGGGTCCCTCTGCAGTAAAGGGGGCTGAGCAGAGGTGAAAACAGCTCCCCAATCAAGAGCTTCTTCTTCAGTCTTCTACATGTGGAGTGATTGGCTGTGGAAGGGCTTTAGGGGCATTTTATAAGTGTCAGGACCTGATGATGAAGGGTATGATATTTATGTGATTCGGGTAATCTTGCCACAATGCCTAGATCTTCTTTCCTTGCCCACTGTACTTATTCCTTTTGGTTGATGCTCCAATGCACAAATGGAGAGGAAGGTGGAGTGCAGAGAGCAAGAGGCTTGTTCGCTTTTGCTCTCTTAACAGTATGAGGATGTTATCACGTTATGCTCATTCATCACAGAGTTCATCCATGTGCCCATATGCTAATGCAATATGTATATCATCATATATCAAACGTTTATGAAATCTTATTAAATATCTTCATTATATTTTCAGGAAACGTGATATTATTGGTTACATTATTCATACACCACGTTCAGCTGCATATAAGTATAAATTATAAACTAATTTAGCAAGCTTATTCATGCACGAGTAATGCGAACACTGAACTGTAGACTAATAGAATTTAGTGCACAAAACAGTACAGCCAATGAGGACACCATCACATGAACTGTGTGGTAGGATAGAGAATGGCATCGTGTTGCAGCATACCTGACCTTCAACATGAGAAAACTGAGATACACAGGACCTGTGCTCACATTGTGCCAGTATGGCACCATCTGGTATGTATTATCACTGTGTTTGGAAACATGTTCCACATTGTTTCAGATAAATCATTGTTATATGATGCAAATTCTTCTGGATACCGTATCTGAATAGAAAGACTGATTTCCTAACCATACTGTACTTTCAAGTACTTGAAAATCCTTTGTACTAAGGAATTGACCGCGATGCCATATTCAAGGTCCTTATCAGGCTTCGTATCCATTTAAATGTACAGTGTGTCCTTCTTTGGAAGTAATCTAAAGATTGTCAAGATATGTGTATTAAACAGAGCAGTAGAATGGACACTGTTTCTTTATCTGGTTGTTTGATAATTTCTTCAAAAGAAAACTAAAGTTTTTTCTTTGTACTGACAGAGTTGAATATGTATGTGACAGAGAATGAATAAGATAACCTGTTTCCGAGAGAACTAAAATCGCTAAATGATACTCAGGTGATAAAATGCTAAAATCGCAGGCTGATACTCAGGAATCCTAATGTATAGCAAAGTTGATTTGTTATTAAAAAAATATAAAAATTAAATGAGATTCTTCTTCCATGCCCTGCATCTGTAGATCGAAATGAAGCGTTTGGTTATAATATTATTTTTTGTTCTTAATCAGCTGTAAAAGGCTTCTAGTATTTTTCCACTCCAAATAAATGCAGCGCTGACAACATACATCAAGAGCGATGTTGTACTTAAACTGGGCTGTAAATAAGGGTTTTGTTTTAACAGAGGTCAAAGTTCAGATACATTAGGCTGCATACAGCTAAGTGAACTTTTTATTTGTCTTAGAAGGCATCACAAAATTCAAACTTCTAACAACAATGACCTGTTTATTTAAGAATAACTGCACCTCTGCTGAAGTTCTTAGACGTATATAAAGCTGCCTATGAGTATCATAATGGCAGATTCAGAAAACATATTGAAAATCCCAATTCCGTTTGTCTTTAGTGTACTAACCCATTTTTTTTTTAATTATTGGAAGCTAGTTAGAAGTAACTATATTCATCCAGCTTCTGGCGCAACTGTTTCTCGGGGCTACGGACGTCTCCTCGTTGTCTCTCCATCGTAGTGGAGTGGGCGCTTTAAGCAGGCGCAGAAGCCAGCCCCTCCTCTCCGTAGCTGCTGTCATTCTTATGGCTCCTCCTCTGTGCGCATCTCCGGGGTTCGCATCACCTGTTCGTGCTGCTTCTCCGTCTCTTTTCCTCGCCTGTTGCGTGCCTAGTGTGTCAGGAACGAACTGGAACTGCTTGCTCTCTGCAACACTTTCAGCACCAGTGCACTCCTATACTATGAGCACGCAGTCCATGCGTAAGGAAAAGACACCTGATACTGACAGTGTTTTGTAAGTGGCTAAATTCAAAGAAAAATGTGACCTAGTGATTTCCGCCTGTTTCCAAAGCTGTCAACTGTAACTAAAAGTTACAAACTCCACGCCAATGCAAGACTGTTGGTTTTCTTCGGTTTTCTGTGGAGTTTACTCCGCTGTTCTGTATTGTCGGATTGGATTTACGCTTTTACTCGCCGAGAACTGCTTGCAAAAAAGCTGATTTGGATTTTGAAAGCACTTAACTAACCGCTGCCAGACCTCGCCGATACGAAAACGACAATGGGCCAACTGGCTTTCTGAGTCGAGCAGTCTCAGCCTGCGAAGCGGTACCGTCCAGCTGATAGGTCTTTCCGGTCAGGAGAAAGCCGTTTATTCTGATCTTTTTAGTAATACTCTTCAGTTGATGCCATGCCCACTAACAAGAGCTTAGTACCGAAAAAGGAAGCTACAAACGGGACCTCAAGAAACGTTTTTAATAGATGTGCCTCGACCAACGAGTTGTATGATTTTACTTTCAAGGTGTGTATAGTATTCTTCTTGCTGTAGATCAATGGTTATGCTGTTTGCTTCTAATGAGATAGTACTACGTGTGGTATTGACATATGGTGTATCTAAACTTATTGAGAAGAGATTGTTACAGTTGTCAAACGTCCGAAAGAGATCCAGTTAAAGACTTCTGCACAGAATGATCGCTTTTGCTAGCATCACAAATGCCAGTAAGGCTTTGGATGATTAAATAATAAAATTGCCTCTCCGTTTCCTTCACAACATTTGCAAATTGACTGCATGTATTCAGGGTAAAAGTAAGAGTGAAGCTTCCAGGCATTAGTTCATTCTGGACGCGAAGATGAAAATAAAATTTACCTGTCAAATGAAGTCAGTAGACTGCTGTTTAGGACTACAACGAGCAATGACTTGGCAGTGTTGCCGAGTTCTGCGCCACCTTGTATTATTAGCGTTTCTCCCAATTGTAGAGAAGGATATAATGATGTAGTTATAGTATTTGCATCCCTCTCTGGCTGCTTAATAGTAGGGCCTGTATTGTTTCTTAATTATGTATGTAGTAGTGAAAATATCAGTAAAAATGAGGAAGTATGTTGTAACCAAAGACATGCTAGTCCGGTCTTTAGTCTTTGGTATTGGACTCAAGAGAGGAAAATAATATCTAGGAGCTAAATTAACCTCATCGAACTGCCGCCTGCCTATTTGTCGTGGGTTCCAAGATACTGTAATTTACATGCGATTTGCGGTGTGCATCTCCCTCCCATGTATAATGTTGTGTCAAACTCAAAACTTTATACTTGTAATGTGCTTCTGGGAACCTTTGCCGAACAAATCCCTATAAGATTATTTACCGGAATTAAGATTAAGATTGCAACTGCAACGCCCCGGTGAAAGGGACGTTAATTCGAACACGATTCTCAAGCGCTTTGCAAATATTTGAGGAAGGAGGACTGTTAGGATTTTCTTATCGCTCCTGAGGCTGAACAGGTAAACACGGATGTGCGTCAAGTCAGTATTCACCACAGATCCTGGCTGACTAAAACCTTCATTTTTGAAAAGCTGTACACCCATTATAAATTTTATATCTTTATTACTTTCAAAGTAACATTTTGACCTTATGCAAATGCATGTCCATTTAAAGAGGGGGTATTTCTAGATTAGTTGTCTGTACAATACTGTTAAAAATTAGTTCATTCCAGCACCAAAAACGTAAGTAGATTTCAAAACTATCCGTTGTCTTCTCATTGTATTTGAAGGGTTTTTACAGAGGGTATTGAAGCACTTCAGTAGTCTGACTAACTACTTTTAAGACCATTGTGAGTTTTCCCATAATACCTTGATAATAGGCCTCAGCCTTCACCAAAGACTGAGGGATTAGTTCACAGCTCATAAAACAGACCTAAAAGTAGTCCAGTCCAGCTACTCTCTGTGCTGTTATGGACTAACTGAGAAAACTAGGTTTGACACTTTTGTGAGCTGAGCTACACCTACTGTAATTCTCCAAATACTGAAGGGAGAGAGAGATTGGTGAATTAACTTGCACTGGGTGCTCTAGTGTTCCATTAATGAGGAAAGTTAAAAAGCAGCTAGCACTTACACCACTGTAATGGGTTTGGAAGTAAAAAAGATTTTGCTTAATAACAGAAATCAAAAGACAGCTTTCCAAGCTTTTTGTTCTAATGCATACTTATCTTCATCTTTTCCGACCTTGAATTAACTCCATGTAATTTTCTTCTTCAGTGAAAAAAAGTATTTTCCCCACATACCCTGCCTTCCTTGATTTTTTTTAAAAAGAAATCCAATTTTCTTTCAGAATATGAGGTAAAGAATTTTTGCCTTCAAGCTAAAGGTTTTGAATATTGTATAAATGTGCAGAAATAACAAGAAACTAGTTACTTCTATGAATACTGACTTAAGGTTTCAGTCATGCGAGATATAGTGCTAAGGAGAATAAGTCTAAATTGCTATGCTGAGTATAGAATCTTCGAACTTTCTGCAGGTTTTATAGTTGACGTCCGTAAATTATTGATGGTCATATAAAAAAGAAATCTGTTCTATGGTTCAGGCGCACTGCTCAGCAGAGTCTCAGCAGTATGAATGCCAAGCCATTTTGTTAAGAGGTGAGAGGTAAGCCTTTGATTGCTTTCATATACCTGCAGACACAGAGACACACATCCACAGGACCAGATGGGAGATACAATTACCCTTGTTTGCTAAATAATCTGACATTTCTTGCTTGCTGTTGAGTATGGTTCACAAGACAGCCAAGCCAGAAATAGGCCACAGACACACAGGGTTTTTGTCTGCATGACAACCCTAAATTGCCTGATAATTACTGATCTTTTGTCTATGTGCCAATTTTCTCTGATTTTATTTGAGGACTCGAAAACACAGTGATCCTCTATTTGTACCATGTATCAGTAGAATTATAGATGGCGCCCAAGCAAAGCAGAGCATCACACATTCTGTATAGACTCACCGATCGACATGTCTTGGTTACATATTACAAACTGCAAATTTTCAAGATTCTGAAAATTCCTTATAGATTGATAATCTACAAGGATGATACAGCTGCCCTTCCATTGTGCATGATCGTGAGACAGAGGAGAATCCTTGAAACTGCTCTTCTTGTCTAAAATATAGGGATCACATTTTGTAAGAACAGAGGAGATTTGCATTACACACCTGTTATAAAATTACACAAACCTGTAATGTTTATTTCCTTGTTGTTTTGCGTCTGTTTATATTTCTCAGTGGAGAGAGAGTAATTTTTAGTGATGGTCACACACACAGTTTACAAGCACCTATAGCACTACCTCTCAACACAAGATATCAGTCTTCAGGTGGAAATGTACAGTTTAGTGAGAGAAAGATGAGGTGCATTTTCAAGTTGTTGGAAAAGGCTCATTCTGAATGCATTTGGCATTATCATGATGATTAGTTTTAATGACTGGGAGTAAAATTGCTGAATGGTTTGTGTATCTGGGCTGTTCCTGTTCTGAGATAGCTGCATCGGTTTCCAACTTAGAGCTGTTTGAAATATGGAAACAATAATGATTTTTTAAAATTATATTGTTGATCATTTCTTTCCTTGCAAACTGCAGTCTGTGAAAATGCTATGAAAATGAATTTCACACGCTAAAAGTTCTCCTTGACTGAGGGGGAAATTGATTTATTGCAATTCTTGGTTTCAATAGCGTGTATTCTGACACCCATAAAAAGGAATAAGGGAAATTGAAATTGCCAGCTAGGATATAACCATAGTGTATTATTCATATGCAGTACATTTATTTAATTCCAGGTCTCCATTGGTTTTTATCATTTGACTCTGTCTCCTCTCATATACCACAAGTGATGAAGCCATTTCTTGGTGTGATAGATTGTGCTGCTGTTGATGTAGTAGAAGTCTATAATGCTTTAGAAAAGAAAGACTTATGGATCTGTTTTGTCAAGAAATCTGTTAATATTTTCGTATCAGCTCAATGATACCATTAGGAGTGATTTTACTTGAATAGCTTCCAGTCTATGGTGTAGATGTTGTGAGCTAAGGACCACCTGTCTGAGGAAGATTTCTGACCTTTTGTTGACTATACTACACCTTGACTGAATTGAAACTGCCTTTTCTTCATCAGTGACTTCTATGAACTGTTTTAGGGACCTTAAATACTTGCACACACATATTATGTGGCAATGCAATGCACTTTGGTATTGCTTCAAATTTCCATGAGCTTTTCAGTCTTTTTTATTGGATGAAGCTCAGTAGGAGACCTCTGGAGTATTGTATAAATGAATATGACATCCATTTCACAACAAGTTTTATAAATTACACGTTTTCCAAGATATTTCCAGCTCATTGCTTTGTTTAGTACATTTGAAACTCTGCATGTACAGTAGGTGCCTTGCTGATTACTTGTTCTTCCTTCTGTGCTTCATTACTATCGCTTGTTCAGAAGAGTGTTGCTCATAAGAACAGTTGGAAGTGAGAGAAGGCCATTTAAACCATCTAGCTTGTTTGATAGTACCTTATTGATCCAAGGATCTCATCCAACCATTTCTTGAAGGAAGCCCAAGTATAGACCTCAGCCACATAGTTGGGTAGCCAGTTCCATTCTCTCAGAGCTATTTGGGTTAGGAAGTACATCTCAGATTCTCAAATTTGAATATTCTTCCATGTAGTTTCCTCTTGTGTACTATGATTATTGTTTAACTGTTAATTCTGAAAAAGTGAATGCCACTGAAGATTTTGAATCCTTGTATCAGGTCCCCTCTGAATCAGGTCAAGACTAAAAGGGTTCTGTTCCTGTCAAAGTAACACATTAGGTCCAGTATGTTGCTAAATTCACATGATTTCTGAAAAGTAACATTTTTTATCATATGGTTTTAAAAATGTACACATTATTCTAAATAATGGCTTACTAGTGCATGGCACAATTTTAGCATATCATTCCTTGATTTAAATTCTAATATTTTTGACTATACATCCTAAAATTTTGTTTATTTTATTGCTTTCTCACTTTCCCTAGAAGACATGTACAAATCACTAGTGTAAGCACCTAAGTCTTTTTCAGAATAGCTCTTCTAGCTCAGGGTTTCCCATCTTGCATAGTTTGCTTTTCCTACTTGTATGCACATCCCTGGATCACATCAAAACATGAAGCTGCTTTTATATGTGTTTTCAATATAGGGCCATTAAACATTGGGTTGCACTGAGAGCTCTTCAGTAATTTTGCAGTTGAAATTATCCAATGCCTTAATATTTTATCATTCGCAACAGCTGTGAAGCCTCATTGTTGGTAGACCTTTGAAGCAGTATGTCTCTAGCCAGGCTGTGCATCCCACAGTGTGGAATGCACGCCTCCAGAGTGCTACTGATCACTATGGATGATGGGGTGCTCAGAAACCCATGCTCAATCAAAGCTATCTTGCAAGTGTGATTCACTAATGAAAAATCAAAGCCTGTATTTCCTCCTGTCTCCCTAGGACTTTAATCATTGACAGCCTGTAGTTCCAGATAAACTAGCTGTGATTTTACCCCTGGAAAGGAACCAAACAGCTACTGGAAACCTTTAATTTATTTGCATGTCATGAGTGTTTTGTAAAGCCTTGTGACACACAATCCCCAAAGCACTGTTCCACAAGAACAAGAACAGGCCAAAGTCAGAACTCTTGTTTGTATTAATGGACACATTTGGAGCTATGATTAAAAGCATGCTCTGGGAAAAAGAGGTATTGTGTGCTTGGTTCAGTCATCTTTGCCCTCTCAAAATATTGGGAAATCCTTATGAATTATTTACTTCTGTTGTCTGTAATGTTGTCATCCTCGATTTTCCTTTATACATGGTTGACTGAAAGGTAATAGTTTCTTATATGAAGATATGTATAACTGTTATTTTCCTTTACCTTATTATTCCAGTGTTTGTCTCAGGTTGGCCATATTTCAAGTCCCTCATGCAGAGATAGAAAATTAAAAAACCGCAGCAAAAAAAAAAAGAACAGATACGGATGTCAAAACAAATCATTGGGTCTCTCTGTATGTTACAGCAGAAATTGGAATGTCTTTCCACTCTAAAATGGATTTTAACACCAAATAGGAAAGTATATGCTTCCAATGCTTTCTTCCCCCCTTCCACATTGCATAGTAAAATCCTGCAAAATTTCCTATAAGGCTTTTGGGCTACATATTGCTTCAGATGTCAAATGCACAACTATGAGAATCACACAGGGAATTTGCTGTAAGAATTCATTCATGTACTGTATGTGATTACAAATTCAGATTGTTTTGTGTATGGGCACTCTTGGGTGTTCCCAAATGTTAATGTCTATTTTAGAAACAACATCTTTTTTTACATCTTAAGAGCCATAATATGTCATTTTTTGTCTAGACACAAATAGGAACACAAACGTTTCTGTGCGTGTGGATTGTGAGAACTTATCTAGTAGAGGTCAAAATGAAATGTGCTGAGGTAGTCCTATAGCTTCTCACGTTACATTTAGGGTGTGACATTAGCTTGTGATGACCGGAAAACGAAAGTGTCCCCATTGCGATTAATGTACAACAGCGACATGTCTGTCAGTCTCCTGAGTTTTTCATCATCTTTAGTGCACATAAAGCTATAGTTAGGAAGGACTTATTGTTATTCTGTACTGATACAAAAGAAACTGCATGTTAGAGATGCATATGGACCTATCACTGAAGTTGAGAGTGCTGCACCTCTTGCTCAAATTGTGGAGTACACAATACCCCTTTGTGTTGAGTCACAATTAATTATTTAGCTGATTTATCTTTCTTCTCTTGGGTTATGTCCCTTCCCATTTCTGTCAGACTCATCCTTGACAGGTTTCTTTTGGATGTGAACATGTATGGCTGCAAATGTGTCCCATGTTGCTGGCTTGGAATTGCCTTCTACAACATAGCCAATGCAGCATTATAGAAAACCCTTCTATAGTTAGGTGTAAAATGTTCATTTGTACAATCACTGGTCAGCCCTGCAAAAAACGATCTCTCCCAGACAATGGGGGGTGCTCTAATCATACTGATAGTGACTTTGGAAACCAGTAATATTTGCTGATGACAGTAGTTTCAGTGGATAGACCTCAGTATACGCGTGAATATAGGTGAATAGTGCTTTTCACATAGGTGAAATTGAATGAACTGGATATCTGCTTAATTTAAAAAATAATCTGCAGTGCTCTGAAATTCACATAAAAAAGACCTGTGCAGAATCTCTTGAACTGGATGTCTTGATGAAGTAAAAAAAATGACTGTCGTTCACATGCAATGCTTTAGAGGGGATTTCCTTTTTGGTGATCATCGTGTCTTTTGTTGTCGTTCAGAATGCAAGTAGCTTTTCCTGGAAACTTAAACCCCTTTTTGCAACATGTTTCAGATCCCTTTCCTTTTACTTTCTCTTTTTTGCTTTGCAAAGAATAGCAAACATACACATACAGTGCCAAACCTAGACTATGTCTATTCATTTTAACCCTATGTTTTCCCCAAGGTATGTTTATTATTTATGAAATTCTCCTGTCTTAACCTTCAGGTTTGAAACTGTTCAGTCTGTTCAAAATAAGATGAGTTTCAACAAGGCATGATTTGAATGCTCCCACTAAGACTGCAGTATTAAGTCATTGGACTTTCTGGTGTATAGGCAGTGCTAGAGTGTATTAACTGCAATAAAGGAAGCAGTTTTGCAGATATGCATCAACAGGGGAAATGGCTGATGTCAAGGGATGTTGATAATGGCTTCCAAACAACAAAGTAAGAAAAAGAAATAACAATTTAAAATCTTACAGAATACTGTCACAGAAAGAGCCCTATTAAAACACATACAATTGAAATGAAGCACGTGTTTGGACAATTGTTTCTCTGTTTCTCAGAAAAAAAATCAACACTTAACTCTTTGAAACAATATTTATGTAATAATTGTCTTCCCCAAGACCAGAGCTCTTTGAGTCGTATGTTTTGGTGTAACAGAAACCCCTTGCCTTTGAGGAAGAATATGCTTACAGATCCCAACAATCAGGAAGGATAATTATTATTGCTTTAAAAGCAGACAGATGGTAATTGGCGCTTGATTAACCAGTAAATACTGTCGCACAGCACACTTGCTCAATAATTACATGAGGAGCATTGTGATAGGCATGCCAGCTGTCATTAATAAAAGTCTAAGCTTTCTGTAAAGATCCAAATTAACACCCTAAGGAACTAAGGAACTGGCCTGGTCTTTTACAGAGGGGCCAGATGGGCTGTGAGATAGAGGTTGGGGAGGGAGGATGGAGAAATGCATTGTTACAGTGAGTTAATAATAATAATAATAATAATAATAATAATAATCCGTAAAATTCACTTTATTTATGGGCTGTTTTAACTAGCCTTTAGCTTACTGTTGGAGAGCCATGTGACATCTGGATGAGATTAATGGTCCCAGCTTTGCTCAGGAATGAACACGTAGTACTGTACATTATGGACTGGCAATAAGAATGAACTGGCCATTTACCTTTTTAGACAGAACAGATATGCAGGAAAAGAAATTGCTGACGCTTGGAACTCTGGCACTGCATAGCTGTGTGGTGATTTCCTCCTCCTCTCCCAGCATAAAATATTCAGCAGAGTTGTTCTGGAAGGGATTTGGGGGGTTTTGCTCTGATGTCGGCACTCAAGGCCTAACGATTTCTCGCCCTCACACCACTACAGGTGATGTTGCTGGGGGACTCGGGAGTCGGGAAGACCTGCTTCCTGGTCCGGTTTAAGGACGGGGCCTTTCTCGCCGGCAGTTTCATAGCCACCGTGGGAATAGACTTTAGGGTGAGAGGAACCAGCTTCCGGAACTGCCTCTCCCATCTCACCCTTCTCTCGTTGTCTGCTGTCACTTCTCTGTATTTTCCTCTCCAAACACTGAGCTCTGTCCCATAGTGGTAGAAACACAAAAGTGCAATAACACTTGGGTGAATACGCCATGAAACTGGAACTGGGGCAGCTCCTCTCAGTCATATAACAGCTTAGAATCAACAGGCAAAATCCTCACCAACAGGAGTTTTCTTTTGTGAGTGCTCTGTTTTCTTATCAGTAGTCAGTGTTTTGCCCTTTGTAATATTTTTAGGGATACCTTACACTGTCTTTTTGCAACATATTTTTCAAGGGAGAAACATGGCCACATTTAACAACACTACGATAATCGTCCCCTCAAATAATGTTCTGCTAATGATGAAACCTGAGAGGGTTTCGTTAGATGAATGTGCAAATGTTAATGACGCCTCAGTCATCAAAACTGAACACACAGGAAGGAGCTCAGTCTGGTTAACAATTTGACTTTGCATTTCCATCTGTAAAAGGTCCATAATAAGACAAGCTCAGCTTTTAACTTTTAGTAACATCACAGTGACATTTTAATGGCTTTTAAAATGATGCTAATGACTTCTAAAGAGTAAGCTTTGTGACTCACACTTCCATGTATGTAAGCAGGGTTTTTAAAAATTGTGCTTTTTCCCCTTTTCCTCCTCCTTTCTTTGGTAATACTGAGGGATTTTTCAGGAGACTAATTTTCCAGTTCACAAATGGAAAGCAGCCAGTTGTACAAGTGACCAGAAGTCGGTCTGTTCACCTGTCATTTTAATCTTTGCTGTGGAGAGTGGATTTATTCCAGTGGCCAGTTGACATTTTATCAGAAGGTTGGTGATATTCATGAATTTGCCAGATTTTAATTGCACTGTTAAAATATCGGTCAACCAACTGAAATGTCAATGCTTCTAAGATGACAGTACTAAACAGTACAATGATCTGGTGTTCTCTTTAGAAAGGGTTAATGAACAGTGTAGTTCATGCAGTAGCTGTTTTCTCATAACTCATTTTCACAAATATCTTAAACTTTGCTTCTGCTTGGTCAAAGTATCATGAGACCACTTTTTCTGCAGAAGTGTTCAGTTACTACTATTTGATCCCATCTGCATTCTGGTCAGCAGTGCAGTTTAAGGAAAGTGTTAAAAAAATACACAATAAGTTAAGATGTGTTAATAACTCTCCTTATCTCCCTTCCTGCAGTCATTATCATATTTTCTCAGCAGTAATGTCCGATAAAACCTGTTGCTTGCGGACTTCTGTAAATTTGGACAGTCAAATAAGACTTTTCTTTTTTGTGTCTTTCTTTTGGTGTCAAATCTGAAAAAAAGGTTCTCAGACTTTCACCTCACTTTCTAAGATGCCGAACTTTATTGCTTAAAGCTTTTTTTTAAAAAAGTTTTTGATGCACATTAAGAAGTCCATTCTACTTTTCTTTGGCTGGCCTCAGTTGATGATCCCTTTTCTACAAAGGGTCCACATCAAAACAAGAATGTGATCATACTGAGCGCTGTGTGACATTTTCCCTCCTCCAGCCCCACTTTATGTAAACAGCTGTGTTGGAGTGACCTAATTGCCATAGTTACATGGACCTCTGAGTGATGCCACAGAAGGCGAGAGGGGGCTTAAGAGCTCCATTAAGACAGGAAATGGCTAGCTGTTTGTGCCATGCCACTCTCAGCGTGCAAACTTCCTGAAACCCACTGGCAAATGATGAAGTATAACGACTGTGGCTCAAACCAACTTATGGGATGTTGTGCCATCGTAACAGCTGTGTGTTTATTTAAAGCGCTTTAATTAAAGCACTGACTGAAATATAAGCCAATGACAGAAGAAATGTATATGATAATATGATTTTATAGGCGTGTCTGTGAGAGGGAACACAGTGTAAAAGAGAGCCATAAGTCTTTTCCATTGAAAATGAAATTTGTTTCTCAAAGGAAAAAGGCGTTTCTTGTACTCTAAAATCAGTAGGGTGCTTTGAGACAGGACATGAGTTTAATTTTTCCCTTAAATAAAAATAAATTAATTCTAAATTAAAGGTTGCGTGCTTGCTGTGCTTTGATTATGAATTGAGCAAGCGTGCAATTCTTATTAGTGGTTTGATAATCCTGTCACAGACGAGATCAAGTTAGCAGCTGAACTGTATGACGGATTTGATCTTGAGCATGCCATTTTATGAAATGCAAAATAGACACATCTTTTTTGTATTGTAATGATTTATTATAATCATTACCTTTTTTTACTTGCACATATTTTATTGTTGGTATTTGTTTTCTGGTAATAAAGTCATTCTAATTTGCACTCTATCCTATTGTCATGCAGTACCTGGTAATTAAACAACATTATGCAGTTTACGAAGGTGTAATGCCTAAATGTCATGCTAATTTCTCTCAGCATAAATGTAATTTGAAGTTCCTGTCTTGTTTTACATGTTCCAGGCATTATGAAGTCTGAAATTCGCCCTAGTTTTCAGTGATAAATGTTACAAACTTTAATTTACTTCCATGGAGTATGTGCACACTTGTTTCTAAAAGTTATGAGCACTACACACAACATAAAGATAACATCCTCTCATTGTGACAAAGTGCTGTAAATAATAGAAAACTTAATCATATTAATGTCATTTTTTTTATTTCAGTGTACTCTGCATATACTGCATTGACATACCGTACATATTCTGGGTAATAAGGTATTTTCCTTAGTTATTTAATACTAGATTTGTGCCATGAAATATTTTCCTTTTTCCACATAAAATGCTCTGCCTCCTCCAGAACCTCGGTAATTCTTAATGCTATTAAGGGAATTTATTTCACATAACAAGGTTATTCTATTTCTGGCTCATCTCTGTTTCATTCACTTGGTCTCTCATTCTTGAAGGGTACAGGCTGTATAGGAGCAGATACCTACACTTTGGAAAAAGATGAAACCCGTTGCTGTGGCAACAAGTGTGTGGGCCCCAGATGCTGCTTCTGTAAAGACATGATTGACGTTCTCTGAGATCAAAATCAGTGGTTTTTGAAGAGAAGAAATCATCTGTTTTGAAGAATCCTTAATTAGCAAGTGACCTATTTTCGTTAAAAAGAAGAGGGCATCATTGGGATATTTTTTTCCTTACACAAGCTCATAGCAGTGAAAGTCACAGCAAAGTGGCGGAAAGCTTTAATAAACCACAAGGCGTGAAAACAAATTGTACAAATTTTAAAGCATGGTAAATGTACTGTCTTTGCAGAAGAAAAATCTGGAATTTTTCTTCTGTCAAACTTTCAGAAATTGTTGTTCCTTGTACTATATACCCAGTTCTCTGCAAGCCTTGCAGGGAAGGTACTGCAACCATTTTTCTGATGTCTGCTCAGATACCTCCATCCATATTAATTCTTTCTTTGTTGTTCAGAAGGAAAGAACTAGTGTTTACTGCTTGAGAATTTAGAATACAGCATTAATGAAAATCTCCACAGCTTTCCTTCAAACCCTGGAGCAAAACAGACATTTATCATGTTGTTGAACAGGATGCATGCTAGTGAGTGCCACTGTGATAAGAAATCATTGAGAACAGATGTTTGTATCAGATACAGCGAGGTTGACATTGACTCAAGCTCTTGTCATCATCCTGTTTGCAGATACACAAGGTACGTAGACAGCAGCTCATCGACCGTGCTTTATGGTAAAGAAAAAGCAGGGAAAAATTGATTCATGAAAAAGATTTAAAACGTTTTAAAGGCTTTAAAAGTATTTAATTAACCTTTTTCAGTTTTTGATTATTGACATTTATTGCAGTCAGTCAAAAAGATTTTGACAGGAGTGTGACATTTTTGCATAGACTGTGTGTTCACAGGGGAATCTAGTTTTTATTTGAATCAGGTCAACATGGAGTAATGATATAAATGAGAGTGCTTTAATATGAAATAATGAGCATCTTGTCTTGGCCCAGTGACCTGTATGTTTCTAACTGACCTTTTGCAGAATTTACTGACACAATGTCAAATTCGTGGTTTTGTCAATGTTTTGCCAAGTCTGAATCCTGAGGACTGTTTGACTTGTCACACCAAACAATTTTCATAGCAGCCAAAACATTCAGCTTTTATGTCCAGAGAACATTCTTCTAGTAGTCTAGTGCATTGTTCAAGTGCTCTCTGACACCTTCAGCTGGCAATATTCTTCTTAGAGAGCATGGTTTCTTCCTGGCTATCCTCTCATGAAAACCATTACTGTCCAGTCTTTTCCTGGCAGTTGAGACATGAACATTAGCTGCAGAGAGAGAAGCCTGCAGGTCCTTAGATGTTTCTCTGGGGTTTTTTGTGACTTTCTGGTTGATGTTCCGGCTTGTAATTGAGGAGATCTTGGCAGGATACATGGTTCTGGGTGGAGTCACAAGGGCCTTGAGTATTTACCATTTGTAGGTTTGTAACTTTCCCCAGACTGATGAGCGTTACTCTTCCTCTGAAATCATGATCATGGCATGATGTGTTTCCACTATCCTATATGGTAAAGACCAAACACGCAAAGTTCCTAAGTATAATATTGGACAGGACTGCCCAAACCCAGTCCTTTTTTGCTTGTCACCTAATTATTTAGCCACATCTAATTATCCACTTAATTGTGATTAGTAAACTATGAATTCATTTATTGCTATTAAAAGTATTCATCCACCTTGGAGTTTTATACATTTTATTGTGTTCCAATATGGAATCATAATGTATTTAACTGGGAGTTCTGGTTGATTGGCAGAAAACACTCTATACTGTAATGTCAATGTGAAAAACTAAATTCTGATGTCATGATATGTCAACAAACTCTTGAGAATTTTTCATACAGTACATAGTCTCTTCTAGGTCAGTGTTTCCCATTCTGTTCAGTTTGTTTTTACTACTTGCATGCAAAACCCTGCTTATGTGTACATTACACATCATCTGACAAAGGTTTGGTTTGAATTGAATGTAAATCATTTGTGTGTGTGTTTGTCTGTCTGTCTGTGTGTGCTCTGTGATGGACTGGTGTCATGTCCAGGGTGTGTTCTGCCTTGCATCTGTTGATTGCCAAGAGGTTCTGTTTCCCCCACAAGACTGTATTAAATAAAGAGTTAGGAAAATAGATAGTTGTATCTAAAGTGCAAAGGGGCACAACAAGATGTTGTTTTTAAGTTTAATAGTGTTTGCTTACTCTCCTATTTGGAGATTGTCTGCGAACCTGACTACTTTACTAACTATATCATAATCTAGATTACTAACATAAGCATTGTAGTTTCATGGTTGACATTATTTATTCATTCAGCAATTAAAGAGAATCCTTTCTCCAATGCTAAACTGAAATGAGTTGTCTATATGTCATGAGACACTGCTTATGAGTCATTTACTTCAGGGCTTTGGCATCAAGTCGGGTTAAGGATGGAGCACAAGTATGTTCATTTATGTTCGTATGGTGACATGCAGTGAATCACAGATAGCTTTAGGGCTCCTGAGCATCCTCAACTTCTCCTTTCAGATTTATTTTATTTTCATCAGCTAGCATTTTTTGTGACACTAAAAGCATGCAGTTAAGAAATACACTTCTGAATTTCCTTTTAGGGGATCTATTTTAACAAGGCTCTGGTAAAATAACCTTGTAAAGCTTTATTTTTTCACATTCTCTTCTTTCCTTGCATTGGGGCTGACTTGATATTGTTCCTTTTCCAAGATGCTGTGGGGGTGCGTTATGTGAGGTGAGGTTGTCATGGTAACAGTGTCTTCACGTAGTTCCACCTATAACACCTCTAGTTGTCAAACTGTCTGTGTGAGCTTAAGTATTGCACAGCAAAAATAAACCATAAAACCTCATTGTTCATGTAGTAAATCACTGAAAAAAATCTTATATTGAATAAACTTATAAAGAATGCCTACAGTCAATTGTGTATGAGCTATTTCTTCGGCAGACTCCTAAGCACAAATACCAGAGTTCATGGTGATGAAGATCAAGGAAATATTAACTCTTTCAAATGATATCTTCTGTTTACTGGAGTGAAGTAGACATGCAGAATTCAGGCAGACATTTTGTTTGACTCTGGCTGCAGTCAGTTTAGCTGTTCGGTAGGCTTTGTGACTTTCTCGAAAGCTGGAAATTAGAACATGCCGAAGTTTTAATAGTATTATGGTCTTTTACATTCTTGTTATATATGTTATATGTTTTGGGATTGTCTTGAGATTTATTGTAATACACCAGATTGCACAGGGCTGTACATGGATTATAAAAGCCCTTTGAGAATGATTGCATTTAGAGCAAAACAGGAGGAGATATCATTTTTATGTGTTGCTGTTCTGGTCTCCAGAAAAACAGTTTTAAAACTAATTTCAAAACTGCACTGAGCTGCACCTGTGACTTCATGCTTCCCTAGAGTAGAGCTGTAAACTGTCCTGTATTATAAGAGACATCCTGCATTTTAATGAGTTATCCTAAATTTATTTGTGTAGAAAACCCACCGTGTAGGCAGTAGTTTTGTATGATTTTAAAAATAATTACAACATTAAAGGAAGAAAGAAAATGCTGGAGCAGAAAACAAAGGAAGGAAATTAAATACATCAGATGCTAACATTAAACATTATGCTTATTGCACAGAAAAGTCTAAAGCTTTGTACAGCAATATATTATTAAGTTATCGGAGTACTATGCACATTGTGATGATCTTTTTTCCCACCAACGATAACAAAGAGTGGGGACGTGATGGAGCAGTGGTTAGCATTGCTGCCTCGGGGCATTGGAATAATAGGTTCAGCTCCTGAGGTGCTATCTGTGTGGAGTTTGTATGTTCTCCCCCATTCAAATGGTTTCCTCTGGGTGCTCTGGTTACCTCCCACAGTCCAAACACATACTGGTAGGTTGATTGGCTTCTGGGAAAATTGGCCCTGGTGTGAGTGCATTCGAGTTTGTGCTAATGCGTGCCCTGTGATGGACTAACGTCCCTTCCAGGGTATTTTTTGCCTTGCACCTGGTGCTTGCAGACATCAGCTCCATCTCACCTGGAAGAATAATAAAAAGAACTTGCCAGTGACTGATAAGCAAAAAACAACTCCACGACAACAGGCCAGTCATGGGAAAATCTTGTTAATTTTCAGAAGAAGTGGCTTCATCAATATTTCAGAGCGCAGTCACTGAATTCAACATCACAGCACTGAAACTGCTGTTTGCTTCCTGAACCTCCTTTTCTTATTAGTTTATTTTTAGGGCAGCCAACTCTCACCACTTATTCCCACCATTGTAGTTTGCCTTTAAATTTTGTGGTGCTGATGAAACAGGTCGATGAACAGTGAAATTGACTTCACTGAACCTCAAAAACCTCTTCACTCCTCAAAAAAAAAAACCCCAACAAAAGCACTGCATTGACTGATGAGCCCAGCACCTGTTGGAACAATTGCCATTTAAACAGTATCTTCCTTGATTCAAACGTGCAATTAATCCTCTGAATTGTTTCAGCATGTCTTTTGTTTCTAAGGTTTAACAGAAGATGTGTATACACCATATTTTGAGAAATAAATGTTGTGTGCTCAATAAATGGAACACCAAGAAAGCATAAACCAAATGATTTTATTAAACAAATATAAAACATATTGATCCCTGGTCCTGAAGAGCCAAAGTGTTTTCGTGTTTGTTCCACCTGAACTCGTAATGTCTTATTTGGATTGATCATTGCTAAATTGTAAGAAATTAACAAGCTTTCTAGTTTTGTGTTTATTGACCATATAAGATGGCCTTTAAAGCTTCCAGGACTGAGGCTAATGGTGGCTGATAGCTGTTTCATTGGCTAAGGGGTGGGGCTCATCTTCTACAAGAGATCTGTTTTACAAATCAGGACCCCTGGGCTTATAGTAACAGGTAGCTTGAAAATGAGAATAAACCTTGTGAGAAATTTCTTCAACACCACCCACCAGCTCTTTTGCACTCTATTGGAGGCAATAACAGGTTGATAATTTTAGACATCTGTCATAACATGTTTCGTTTAGTAGGCCATTTAAGGCTGTTAAATGTCGGCTAGGATTCTTCCTCCCTGCCAGTTACCATAGAAATGAGATCAGAGTCCAATAAGTAGCTGAGCATTGAATCCCTAAAGGCTGGTCTCAGCACAGCATGACTCCATGTCAAGGGCTCAAAACTGCTCACAACTCAAAATGCCTTACTTTCAGTTGAAAGGCTGTCATACTTAACAGGAGACACTTTAAGCACAGTGTCAATGATAAAGGAAAAACACAAGCCTTTATCTTTGTTGTGCTCTCTTCTCAGAAGTTGGACTAAGACGTGGTTTTTGATTGACTTTATGCACTCAATTCAGAAACGTCTTTATATAGCAATTATTGATATTACAACTAAAATATCCATTTAAAAAATCAATGTTAATATATACTTTTAGATATTTAATATTCTAACATACTAATTAATCAGCTGTGGCAGTTTAATTGGATTTCAAAGGAACAACTTAATGACTCATTAAGAATGTATATTCCTAAGGTTTTAAAACTTTTCTGCAAGATATCTGAGAGAAGCCTATCAGTATTATAGGAGACTGAATTGATCTGCTGCAAATTTTAGGAATCTTTCCTGTCACATCTTATTTTCATTATAAAGGCACCCAATATACTTTTTAGAGAGTTAAGAGTCTATTTTCTTGCTACATACAGCTTCAGCCACTGTGGAAAATGTATTGAGCGGCATAACTCAAGACTCCAAATTCTTCACTAACTTTTGACCTACTTTGTCTTGTCAGAGTCTGGACCTGGTTTTCTCAAGATATCTAAATTTAATATTTTTGTCTCTCAGAAACTTGTCTCTGTAGGCTGTTCTTGTGTATTTATTACTCTTGTCAACCTCAACACCAGTTGCATCCATGTATTTGAATATTAATCAGTCCCGGTGCTTAGATTGTAATTAAGTCTGCTTTTCTCTCCTGTAGAATAAAGTGGTGACAGTAGATTCCGTGAAAGTAAAGTTACAGGTGAGTGAAGAAGATTGTTTTAATTTTGCTATAATTTTAGAAATTAAGTGCAGTTATTTGTCTACAGACAGTTATTTCTAAAGTTCAGTTAAACAGATGCATGTGAAGTACTACCTTCAATGACTTCTTCATACCTCCTCACAGTAACTCACTCTCAGACACATTTATTGGATAATGCTGATCGGCCTTTGATTTAAGATGTTATAAGTAAAGGCTTCATAAGTAGTAGCTTTGCTCCTTTTTGTTAAACAGCAGAAAGACAGCTGTGGCTCAGTGAGGCATCAGTACTCTTGGCAATATTAATATAAAAATTGAGAGTAACATTCAGACAAGCTCTGGGTCTTTTTTTATCATATTCCTTAATAAATACTTTTAATTGGGTAGAGTACCTCTGTTATAATTGAAACAGAAATTGTGTTTTGACCATCATGCTATTACGATTAGTAATCCCTTAGGAAAGACTTCTGTGGAAAGTTTACATCCTACCTTCATATATTTCTCATTTTTCCTCTTACAATTAAACATAAATTTAGATTAATTTACCTCTCTTTAAACACATTCATATGCTTCACCACGACTTCACTGTGCTTTAACACATTTAAAGCACAGTGTCACACCATGACACACTACAGGAAATGCTTGTAATACCTGTGCAATGCTGTTTCTAGCACTTGCTATGATAGATTGTGACATTAGGTTAATCTGGTATGGTGACACACAGTAGAGGCATGACAAAAGCATAGAAAAGGAGAGCAGAATTAAAGTACACTAGTGTGTAAGGATTAGGACAAACTGACTAAAAAGTGACAAATTACCTTGTGGAGCTACCCCGGTAAGGTTTCAGCAGGGAATGTCAGGGCTTATTTTAGCTGAAGACTGAGAGAATGTCTGATGTACCTCTGTCTGCTCCTCAGATCTGGGATACAGCTGGGCAGGAGCGCTTCCGCAGTGTCACCCATGCCTACTACAGAGATGCCCAGGGTAAGCCCTCCACATGAGCTCCAGGTGCTGAGCTCCCTAGATAAAGTGTCAGTGACCTGCACAGAGCCTGGGCTGTTCCCTTTCCCAAGCCTAAGGTGGCCAGCCTTGGTCTAGGAGAACCAGCTGTTTCCATCGGTCAACCTTAAATCATCTGTTATTGAAAGCTTGGAGCCAGTGGGCCATCTTTTGGGTTTGGGGGGGAGGGGCGATAAGAAGGGCACTCACACATCCTTCTGAGGTCTTGGGGTGCAACTGTCAAATTAAAACAAAAATAAAAACAACAATTAAAACAATGAGACACTCCAAAATCTTGACCATCAGCAAAAGCGCAGGGAAAGAAGACGTAACAGACTCCAAGTCCACTCCTGGGGTATAAAATCTACTTTGAATGATCTCATTTTCACTGGCTTTTACCAAGTAATTTGTAGAATTAGATTATCGCAAGATAATTCGGAGCACAAAGTTGTCTGTAGGTTGTCTAAGTTGTGCAACCTAGCTGTGCAACCTAGCTAATTAAATTTATCATTTCTAACTCAACTGAACAGTTTTTTTACTGAAATGATCAAGAGCTTCTAGTGATGTAAATTTATAATTGAGGGTGACCTCTGTAACGTGCTGAGCTGTAGGGTACAGGAGTTCACTGTGCAACAACCTTATTCTCACAGCAAACAGTCCTCTTTATACACTGAGTATGCTCATAAACGGTTTGATGAGAAGACATCGTATGTGACCATAACAACACCGAAAAGTTAAATGAAAATTCTATTATGAGGTGGCTTAGTGTAGTGAGCAAGGCTCTGATTGCAAAACTGACAGATTGTGGGTTCAGATCCCCACCGCTGACACTGCTGTGACCCTCTGAGTGAGGTACTTTACTCCAGTCGCTCTAGTCCACCCAGCTGTACAAGATGGGATAACCATTGCAGGGAGGTTCCCTGAAACAGACCACTGTCCTGACTGGGAAGGAGTCCTGTGCACTCCAGTCCAATTAACACTACAGAAACCAGGATGAGCTGTTTTTTTGAGCCCCTGTGGCACCGCTATGGACTTTACCTTTTTATTTGTTTATTTCTGTACATACCTATTCAAGTACACATTTCATTAGCATAGCACATTTCATTAGCACAGTGGGATGGTTTGCTCCCAACAAACGTCATGATTCGTTCTAGTTCAATAAAAAACAAGACTGATACTTGTTAAACTCAATTGATAGGTGCAGCTAATCCAGCTGATCAGTAGGATTTAAGAACCTCTGTTGTGTTTCACTTGTAAAATGAAATCATTTTAATGATTTATACATAAGTGCTAATGACAGGCATGAAGCTAAAAATGAAATACTTTACCAATCCAGACATTTTGTTTATTTTATAAGGAACGTTTTTTATAGTAAACACCTTTTAAAAAGTTATGTTACCGAACAGCAAAGCCATTGCAGAGTAAGAAACTAAGGTTTTAACAGACTGCATTTTGTATGTGAATATAGGCTTTATTGGAATAATTAGCTTCTTTCTACTAGTACCATTATTAATGTATGATCAGAAGCATTTGCCTGTTTCCTTATAGATTTATAAATAGATTTATAACTACACAGAATAAACTTTGCAATACTGTCGCTATTTTATGCGAAGTCCGATGGAGGTAAATCACAGTATCAGTGGTGACAAAGGGATATAAAAATGTAGAATAACTAGTAATTCAAACACAAGAAAGAAAACAAAGATGACGACTTTCACTTCTCTGTTCTCTTCATTAGTTTCTTAATTCTCTTTAAAGAGACACTTATACAAAATAAAGGGCATGGGGAGGAAGAGCTCCACTGTGGGTTTCTGCTGATGAAGCCCTAACAAAGACTTCTCCTGGTTCTGTCAAAGGTGTGACGGAGGCTGTCACGGTGATTTCCATAAAAGTATTTTTAAACTCTTATCAGGAAAGATGAAAAAGGCTCTGGAGATACAGTACATCGAATATGAAAAACAAATTCTGAAACAAAATCTGTTTGTAAAATAATGTGCGTAAAGCCAATTACTATTCCTCACCTCTTGTATTAGTCTTTAATTGTCACAGCATACTGCTCCCTTCATGCCTGAAGTCAAGCTGGAACATGTACGTCATCTCTAATCCTTTCCTGAATCACTTGTTTTTCATGTTTTTGTAAACATCCTAATTAAAGGCCTGTCTTTTTTCTTTTGGAGAAAACAATATGACCAAAATAAATATTGTTTTTGTTTTTTCTAGTTTGGTTCTGTGATCACTAGTTGCATTTTTTTCTAACATCATGATTGAGATAGTTATTATTCTTACATTGGGAAGACCAAGGGGAATTTTAGCACCAGAGGCCTCTAGGAAACAAAAAGCACCATCAGGCACGAGGTTCATAAATGTAAACTGGTAGCAGGTGCATTGGTTTTGGTTTAATCCTGGCTATAGAGCTGTCTGTCACTTTAATATCCTTTTCCATCCACTACTATTATTACATTATTAGAGTGATCTAGCCTTTATCTTAAGGGACTTAAATGTACAGTATACTCCTTTGTACAGACAGATATATTTTCTGAAGCAATCAGGGTGAAGTACTGTACCTTGCTCAAGGCTACAGTGGCAGTTCTCCACCCATTTGAACTCACAGCCTTCTAGTTGGCAGTCTTACTCACTAGGCTGCTGCCTAAAACATTTCTGATGTAACTTGCAGGGGAAAAATTCTTTATGCTGACATGTCAATTCACATGTACTGTAGATGCAGAATCTACGGCCCTAACTGTTCTCCTTCCTCGACTACCTCCTGCATATTAACAGGACGACATTCAAAGCTTTTTGTCTCTGTGTTTCTAAAGGTATTAATATAAAATCCCCAAACTATGTTTAATTGAAAAACATATTAATAACCCAAAGAAGGCTCCATGGCCGAAACGTTTCGTTATCTTTCTTTTCTTTCTCAGCAAGGAATAAACCCATTACCTGTTCATTTCAGTTTTCCATCCCCGTACTGTCTCTATCCCCGTACTGTCTCCCCGAACTGTCTCTATCTGGATACTTTTTATCACAAATTTCCTCGAAGTAGGAGCTAATTCTACGAAGTTACTATGATATCTGACTTCACTGACCTGTGTCCTGTGTTTCTCTCTAGCATTGCTGCTTCTCTATGACATCACCAGCAAATCCTCCTTTGATAACATCAGGGTAAGGAGCTGACTTCTACTGAGGTTATTTCACCTTTCATCCCAAAAACCAAACTCTTGACCTTGTTTCATGAGTTTGAGAAGAACAACTGGTTCATGTTTTTTTTTTTAAAGACCGGGAATAATGAAATGCCATTAATGTCATATAATGTATATTTTAAATGCACATTTTTTAAAGGTTTTGATTAAGTATCACACATTATTATATCAGATGCTGAAAGAAATCAGTGAAAAGCTAGCTTTTTAGATTACTGATTTTATACAACACTTCATATTGGCTTTGAGTTTAAGTTATGTGTCTGTGTCTTAAGGCATATGGTTAAAAATGAAAAAAAATGCTCATCTATATAAAGAATGTACCTGCCAGCAGTGAGGAGAATTTGCTTTAAGACAGAATTTCCACTGTCACAGAGTACTGACAGGATCATTTTTCTGATTACCTTTGAATTAACTGCCATGTTCATCAGTTTCCAAAGGCAGAGTTCCAAATGTGTAAGCTGAGACTGTAGACTGTATAATGGTTATTTTATCCATTTTCTTTTGAATGAAAAAATTACATTGCATAATATATGGTTATTTAACTATTGAGTATTAGTTGCCTTTGGGTGTTTAAAATTTTTTGAAGTGCAACCTTGCAGATGGAACTCCATTACAAATGCACAGCACTTGTGAGAGTTCATTTAGTTTTGTTAGGCTGGCTCTTGTGATAATTATCCCGTTGACACAGAAATACATTTTTACTATCAATTGGTCAATAAATTCGCTAAAAAGCTGCAACAGGCTTAAAATATTCAGTCCTGTGAAATGTGCATTGTTTCAATAATGCTTGACGATACAAGAAATCTGCACTGGGATTATTGTGTATGTATTTTAGAACATTTATGAGGTCCAAATATGAGAATGCCATCAAAAAGATTGTTAATCCTGAGTAACGAGTGTTGTGAAGACCAGCAATTAAACCCTCACAGGCAAAATAATTTTATTCTCGTAAGCATAATGGAATCTTCCTTAATATTGAAAACTGTTTTTTTATGTCTTCTTACCTCTGTTGAATTTGCTTTTAGAGAACTCTGGACTAGTAAATAAAAATAGAATGAAAGCTGTTGGGTGATCTTGACAGAGATGGAAACACAAAGATGTGTGAGAACGTGGCTATAGTGTGTGTGTGTGTGTGTGTGTGTGTGTGTGTGTGTGTGAGAGAGAAGCTGCATTTGTTTTTTAGTTACAAGGAAGCAAACTTGAGCATGTTGTGAAAAACTGTTGATAGCACAACTATCATGTCCTCTACTGTGCCTGTGCAATTTTGACCTTTTTCTTTCTTCATTGATTGCAAAGGCCTGGCTGACAGAGATACATGAGTACGCACAGCAGGATGTGGTCATCATGTTGCTTGGCAACAAGGTGAGATGGCCTTCCTATTTTTTGCTCCATTTCAAAGCAATGTGAACAAGCAGGGGGCTTGAGGTCATCCCTCAAAGGGGCCTGTCAGATGCCAGCAGATTAGTGACAGATGCACAGCCACCAGCACTGACATCCTCACCACAAAACCAAGATTGCTCCATCTCAGAATGTGCTTCTTCGGTCCAGCCACAATGAAGTGGTTTTTATAAATAACCAGTCGTATCCTCATGCCTCCTTTAAAATACATTCACAAAGCAGGGTTTTGCTACATTTAGCTATATAAAGCAATACCGTAGAATGCTAAGAATATACTGTAAAATACCTTATAAATAGCAAAAAAAAAGTGCAACCAATGTTACAAAACTAATAAGCATTGGCTGACTGCACTAGAAGTTGTAAATGAAGTAGAAGCAGCATCTATTTTCAAGAACTTTGCTAATTGTAGAATATGGGCTCCCTCTGTTGGTTGAAAGAACTCAAGACACTCAGGTGTGCATGCATGTGCTTTTTGGGGGATTTGGGGATGTGCTTACTCAGATTTGTAAAAAGTGTGTTTCGTAAGAACATAAGAATGAGTACAAATGAGAAGAGTTCATCTTGCCTATTTGATTGTGTGAAGCTTGTTGATGAAACTTGCTTTATTTTTTTAAATTAGAAATACATTATAATTAAAAATTGTAATAAGTATCAATGAAGATATTTATTACAGTATTCCAGGGAGTCCGCGTCACCAACAAGGCTGGTCTATTTATTCCAGAACCCTATCAACCATCTGTGTAAAGACGTTCTTCCTGATTTAATTACTCATAATTGATTTCCATGAATAGTGCTGAATTAGTCTTCTGGATTGTCTCTGCCAGTAGCTCTTATCAGATGTTTGTCTAACACAAGCCCGAGGCAGAGGTTTCTTGACCTGTGTTGTGCTTTCAGTTGGGTTTTCAGTTAATTTTATCATGTATAAAAATTCCTAGGCTGTCAAGCGGTAGAGGTGCTCATTTAGAGGATGAGCCCTGTATTCCATAACTGCCAGTTCCAGACCTGGGCTGTGCCTTCAGCCTTTGAAACTGAGATTCGCATGGCAGCTGGCAGTATTTGACCAGAGCTTCACCAAGTGTGAGTGGGTTTGAGCCATCCTAGTCATTTGAGTCCTGTGAGCCTGCAGTGTTGTCGGTGAGAATGTCAGTAGACACCAACTGACACCAGCTCTCCAATAGGCAGTGCTGTACATTTAGGAGGAAGGCATGTGTCTTCCTCTTCATGTACAGGCTGATGAGCCAAGCTGACTAAAGAATGGCAATTCCAGACTGGAACGAGGAAAAAAAGGGGAAGTACAAAAAGGCAATTACTACTCAACACTCAACTCTCAACACAATTTTAAAGTTCAAACATGCTTTTCACTGTCTTTATGCAGTGTGTGCCATTAAAGAAGTTGTACGCCCACCTGTAACAACATCTGTCATGTTTCTGTATCTGAGAGTGTTTTCTGACAGAACGGCTGAAAGAACCCTTTATTATTTGACATCAGTTTGTATCTTATTATCCCATTACTGTCCATCTTATACGTTCATGGGGAACTTGTTATTCCTTTTAGTTTTAATGTTAAGTAGCCTGTTGTGAACTTATCATTGAATCATTAGATCTACTCTATAGTAGACTCATACCTATGAGTGGGCCAAAATGCTAAGTGTTAGTAGTTCATCCTTTCTTTGAAGAGAAAAAATTGAACTTGAATTGTATGTCAATAACACTTAAGCTTAACCGTTTCTATCACACACAGTCAGACATGAACAGCGAGAGAGTCATCAAACGTGAGGAAGGAGAAAAGCTGGCCAGGGTAAGGAAGCCCCTGTGAAAGTATTGTTTTTATCATGCTCGTGTCATGCAGGTACTTTGCTTTGCCATGGTTTTCTGTAGTATGTATCATGCTTAACCATTTCTTTTCGTTACTGTATTTCTATTATGACTCCACTGTGCTTTTTATCACACTTCAGGAGCCAACATGAAGTACAGGTCATGACTTTGTGGCCTTTTCATGAAAACAAAATTTCTCCCTTTAATTTACCTATTCTCAGATTCAAAGGTATTACACCAATAGTTCAAAGACACTGAAGTCTGGTAAGTTAAGGGTAAATTGATCTATATTAAAACCTTATAGGTAAGCTAAACCTACAAGATATATACGGTAATACTCAAGGTATTTTTTACTCTTAGCAGCTCGACCTACAACTGAAAGGTTGAGAATTCAAGCACCTGCTACTTACAGTGTTGTCCTGCCCTTGAACAAGGTGCTTCTCCCCAGTCTCTCTGGTCCACCCTGCGATGGAACGATACCAAGCAACATTCCAAGATCAGCTTTTTTTCCCTTATCCTTGCCCCTCCCCTTCCCCACTACCATGGTGCGAAATAAATGAAAATGGAGAAGTAGCATTTCATTCCACAGAGAGACATGTACTTTCAATCTGCTTGAAATGATACACAAGCTGGGACCGGGATGAAGTCATGATGACCTGATTTAGTTTTGACTTACTGCACTTTGCTCTGCATTTGTCATACTATACTGCACTAAATTTTCACAAAGAAGTTCTCCTCTTCACTAAGGCTTAAAGGCCTTTCTTATTTGAATTCACTTTGTCTCATTTCCATATTCCTTTTATCTACCTTTCTCGTGTTGCAAAGTGTTTGGTTCTGTTTGCTAGAGTTGAATATTAGGGCCAAACTGTGGGCACATTATCAATGTATATCATTTGCTGTAGAACGTCAGTGTACTGTCTAGCTATTGTACCTAAAGCACTTTCTGAAAAGGGCTACTCAGTGTTGGCCTCTCTGTTTTTCTTTCTTTTTCATCTCTGTTTGAGCTTTCAAAGATGTCCACTAAAAAATATTTTTACCGATTCTCTTATAATGTAAAAAGCATGGAAACAGTAGAATACCATATCAAAAAATAGCACAGTCTTTCCTCAATACACAACAATTGAGTGGGACAGATTTTGCATGTTGAAGGATGTCTTGGGATATTTAAATAAAAGATGGGTTTTGCAACAGAGCAGACCAATTCTGTGGGGGCTCGATGGGGTCAGGTGAACTAGTTTATAGGATTTCTCTGTATTGTGACATTAGCATTCCCTCCCTGACAAATGCTGTCTGACAAACTTTTCTTGGGCATAACATCTTGACATGCCCTTTGCCATCAAGCTCATGTTGTCGATCTCACAATCCCCAACAAAGTGCCATTTGCCAAGGTGTAATAACTACTGATGCGTCTGTTTTAAGGGGTTTTCTCAGGCCTCAGACTGATGCTCCTGGTTGTTTTGCAGGAGTATGGGGTTCCCTTCATGGAAACAAGTGCCAAAACTGGAGTGAATGTGGAACTGGCATTCCTAGCTGTTGCAAAGTAAGTTACCAAACTAACAGGTTGGTTGGTGTCTGAACTGAGCTTTGTTCCAAGGGGAATTATTTAGCAAAATTATTGTTTTTACCTTGTAATACACTGTCGCAAAATAACTTCTTTTTGCCATGGTTTGATTTTATCCATTTCATACTGTATACAGTAGATGGCAAAGAAAAGTATACTGGAAGTATTTTATAATTTCCTTCATTTTTGCATTTCCCTGGAAATGTGTGTAGGATTTGTCAATTCCATGACTATTTTCTTTATTTCATTTCGCAATGTTTCATGCAGACACAAGTTTCATTCTTTGTTCTTTGCAAAAAAACATTAAGGTAAATTCTTACATGCTCACAAATGGGTAATAGCCAGTAACCTCAAACCGAAATCTGCTCACTAGTACTAAAAAAACAAACTCCCTATACAAACACTCAGCTTTCTCAGTGTTTGTCAGGATTTTTTTTAATTACTGACAAAACTGTTGCCATAACAGCAGTCTACAGTATAAAGGTCTGGTGTACTTGTCTTGATTCACCTGGTGTGGTATGTTGACAGAGCAGCCTCAGATTCTGTTTGCTTAGACTTCATCATAGTTTGCAGTGCTGAAACTGTTCTAACATGCTATTGGTCCATCACTTTGAGGTCTAATGATGCAGTATCTCGGCTACATTTTGGCTGTGGGTTGGCAGTGCCAGTTTAAAATCATGGGATGCCGAAAGGGAACTAGGTTCTCTTCCTGGTCTGTATGAGGAAACCATGATTTAGAACATAGGTGAGGCCCATCTAGCCCATGTGGTTAGGAATCGATTCAAAGATTTCATCCTTTTCTTAAAAAAGCCATGGTACTGGCTTTGAAAACATTATTGGGTTGCTCCATATTCTTACAACCCTCGATTCTAAATCAAACTCAAGGCCCATTTTGTCCCTTTTGAGACACAAAATATAGATTTGACTTTCTTTTGATTTGTATTCTTTCTAGAGAGAAGATGCACCCAAGCACACAATCTAAAGGGGTATAGATAGGGTTAACCTTGAGGACTATTTCACATTTACCGTATTTGCAAAACAAGGACACTGGGTCACAAGTAGGGCACTAAAAGGAAGTTAATTTAGGACAAAGAACAGTTAACATGCTTTTGCACAAAAAGCTATGGGTATTTTGAACAGGACTCCCAGCCAGGTGGTGAGGCCCATGCTCTGAAAATTTTAAATTCTCTTGTTTACTAAATGTCTTATCACTCTCTTTCCTGTCTCTGTCTCCTTCCCTTTCTCTCTCTCACCCAGGGAACTAAAGCACAGAGCAGTGCAGCAGCCAAATGAGCCCAAGTTTCACATCCATGACTACATTGAGTCACAGAAGAAGAAGACCAGTTGTTGTGGCTTCATATAGCAGCTTGTGAGAGGCACACAGGGACAGTGATGTACAGTAAATTGGCTGGTGTGAGGGGGCTGGGGGACATCTCCATACTCTCCAGTAAGGTATACTGAGAGACTCTACAGAGAAAATGCATCGTTGGGGGTCTAAGGGCCCTTTCCTCCCCACCAGGTGTTGAGCCTATTGCACTGTCGGTGCCATGCATGAGCCCTCTTGGTGTGCAATCCTGGGATATGTGCCATATTTGTTTTTTGAATGGGGCAGGTTAGGGAAAGAGGAGAAGAAGTGGGTGGGAGAAGGACAGTGTAATTACTTATGACTTTAACTTATTTAATTTTGATCTGGAAAACAATTGTGGTTTAATCCTTATTTTTCTTTTTAAAAACATAATTTTAATTTAAGTTTAATTTTTTTTTTACTTTCAAGCAGTCCAAGCAGAGACTGCAGCACAAAATTTTTTGAAAATCAAATGTTCTATGGTATCTGCGACCACTCAGATATACAGTAATTATCCACTTTATTGTTGCAGTCAGTTACTACAAGACTAAGTACTGTAAGTCAACCAGACATGCCATATGTGCTGATAGTAGACATATCAGCAGTATACAAATACAACTGTAAACTAATTTGTCTCAGTTAATAGAAAAATAAACAGCAATTAGCAGACAGATCTACAGTTTGCCGAAGAGCCCAAAACAGCAAGATGTCTGTACAGCAAATGGTGAAAAATAGAAAATTCTACTCCCTTTATGGTCTTGTCCTGTCCATGGACAAAGACTAGAGATAGCTTGTAATTGTAGGTTTAGTTTGTTGTACTTTAATGCTGACTCCAAGCTGTGAAAGTATGTTTGAAAGAGGCCCGCATCCAAGACATTTGAAGAGAAATACATTACTATAAGGCCACGAAGTTTGTCACTGCAGTTGACCAAAGCTTTAAGTAAATATAAATATTGAAGGCCCATACGAAGTAGCTATTGAGGTTGCTGTCTTATGTTTGTGACCTGGCAATGATTTGTGATTTATGCTGTCTTTGTTCTGTTAAATCCAAGGGGCATTTGAAGAAAATGGTACTTTCTCACAAGATTCTCATAGAATTATTTGGGTGCAGGAGTTCCGTATCTTTGAAATCTTTGGCTTTCAAAGACAGTTCTAATGATTGCCAAAAAGTACCACAATGTTGCACAAAGTATCTGAGCTGTACATGAAATAAGATGTTCTCTGAGACAACACATTTGTAATTTTGCCATGAGAATACAGGTTATATTTATAAATACAAGAGGCCCCATTAGTGCTTACTCTACTCATGCTAAGTATTGTAGAATAATACACAACCTATATGTTAGAGACTGTATTCATAAAGTGATTAGACATTTGTAACCTGGTAGATCATTGCACATCTAACAGTCTTCCTGCCGTGCTTGGCCTTGTTGGTAGGATCAACATAAAAACATTTATAAGTGTTGACTTGTGCATCTTTTTTCTGTACGCATTTAAGAAGACTTATTAAATGTATAGTGATGTGGGATAAAAGCACACACAGCTTACTGCAAGTTCTATGAGAAAATGAGTGGTAGTTAGAATGAGCTCTTCAAAATCGTGCTCGTGAGAAGACACAGCCCTTCAAGTACATACGTCAGTCCTTGTTGAAAGCAGGAAGGGAAGCTTCCTCATTGTCCAGATCTCTACAGCGTGATCTGTATCTGCTTTCTAAAGGGGTTCAAACTTGTACAGGGTTGAAATCATTGCACATGACTTTAAGATTGACCCTAAAGGAAGACAAATGTCAAAATTAGAAAAATAGGATTAAATAGCTATGTTCTGTGCAGACACTTCAGAGAGAACAGAGTGTGTTCTGTTGTAGAAAGGATATTTACTGGTTTCTCTTGCATATCCTTTGTGGTGTTCTGCAAAACCACACTTCAAGATCAGTGTTTGATATGAAAGCCCTCCTCAGCTAATGTGGTGCAGTCAAAACGTTTTGTTCCGTATAGGTTTTCTTTTGCAACACTATGCGATTTAATCTTTGTAATAAATAAGGAACTGTGCCTGTTGTTCTGCCTTCTTGCAGAAATTCATATTGGTTCTGTTCAGAAGAAAATACATAAGTCCATTTAAATGATGTGCTACTTTAGATACTGTACAGGAAATGGGCAGAATGTAAAGGAAAATTATCATGATTATTAGAGGTGAGTAAACTGAATGGATGACTCCTAAAGCTTTTTGGTCCAAATAAAAGTTTGGTCCACTTTTGTTGCTGCCCTAACTTCTTAATTACTAATAAATTCCCAAACTTGAAGTGAAATGTGAAGTAAAGCTTCTTAGGTTCGCCCTGGAACCTTCTCTGTTTACTCTGACAAACTGCATAAAAACCCAGAACGCAATGGAATTGTCAACTCAGGAATAAAAGGGAAAAATCCCACGGGATGAATTTGCCAGTTCGCAAATGCCTGCATGTGAAAGAGGCAGCACCACCACTGAAGTCTTCTTAAGAGAGGATGGATGGAAATTAGTTTGATAGCAACCTCAATCCGAAGCCCCAGTCTATCAGCACTCGCCTTTAGAGATGCACCCTTCTTTTGGCAAAAGTATTGCTTTGTGTTAAACACTCAACAAACAGAACTATGGATGCCTTGCAATGTGTAATATTACCTTGTATTTTGCTTTCTTATTATTTGTAAGGAATGTTGCCTGCTTGCTTGGTCATTTTTCTGTGTAATGTCTTTCAGTTCCTTTCTATGAAGTTTTGAATGTTATTGGGTATTATAAGAAAGTGATTTACAATGCTATAAACATCTCTATATTTTTACTGTTGTGGATGTGTTTGGTTCTTGTGTTTTTGTTTGTAAGTGTGACTACAGTATATGACCTATTGGGAAACTGCTGTTCATCTTATTCTGAGATGGAAAAGGAAGCTCGCATAGACCCATAACCACAATAGCACATTTGCAGTGGTACACTTAGTAATACGTTAAGCCAAAAACAAAGCCCTATTTTTTATAGTAGAAAAAATGGCAACTAGCAATGAATATGATGTAATTTCACCCCACTTGTGTGAAGAAATAAAAAGGCTACAAATCAGAGGCATGGAGGGGTGGTGGTTAGCATTGCAGCCTCCGAGTGCTGTGTCCTGGGTTCAGTTCCAGACCTGCGGTGCTGTCTGCGTGGAATTTGTATGTTCTCCCTGTGTTCATGTGGGTTTCCTCCGGGTGTTCCAGTTTCCGCCCACAATCCAAAAACATACTGGAAGGTTAATTGGTTTCTGGGAAAACAGGCCCCGGTGTGGGTTGCGTTTGTGTCTGTCCTGCGATGGGCTCGCATCCCATCCAGGTGTATCTCACCTTGCACCTGTCACTTGCTGGGATAGGCTCTGGCTCCCCCGCTCCCCCTCTGAATTGGAGGAAGAGGTATGATAATACATCGATGGATGGACAATTTAAATTGCCGGGGTACAAATAGCACACTGATGCAAGAGTCTTGTTCAGCCACTTCTCAGTGGACCATGCTTCCATAACATGGTACAGTAGCAACCCGTATTTCATACAATTTTAAATTATGTGTTCGATATTGACAAGAAGTACAATTGTTTGTGTGTTATTAGTGTAAGCAGATTGTGTTTGTCTATTATTGTGACTTAGTTGACGATCAGACCACATTTTTATGAGTAATTAATACAGAAATCCAGGTACTGTAATTCCAAAGGGTTCACAAACTTTTTCTGTAACTCAGCAGTTTCCCCTATCTGCAACAAAATAAATAATTTTGGTTATATAGAGGCACCGCAGTGCAGTTTAATTAATGTTTTTAAAAGTAATTAATTGCCAATTACATTCTAGCTCAGACATCTTAAGTCTTTTGAGTGGACTGTTTCCCTATTCTCATTGTCTCTGTAAATGGAAAGGTCCTGTCCTCAATATAACCTCATATGTCTGCATACAGATTCACCACAGCAAAAGGTTTTGTCACCAGAAATCATTTCAAGACAAAAAGGTACAAATGCAAGAAATTATTGTTCCTCTTCTTCCTCACAGTCATAAAACAACTATTCAGAAGAGACAGACAAGTTCCAATAATGCCATTGCTTTCCTGATAACCCTTTCTGAATTTTCATTGTGACCACCAAGAAAACTGGCCATCAAGGTTTCCAAAATTCGTAATTCTTCTGAATGCGAAAATCTTAAATGCAATTGGAATAAACTCCATTAAACCCAAATATTGATACATCTCAGCCCATATGTCCAGTTGTCTCTACCAATGGATTAATTCCCTGGTCAGGCATGTATAGTATATTTTAAACACACACTTGTTGTATGCGACATCAGAAATAACTGAAAGGCAGGGATTACATTGTCGGAAAGACCCATTGTGCCATGTGTAGAAGTATCTTGTATAGTTCTAATCCATATGCAATGGTTACTTCTAAGAACCCATTCATGGTAATAACAGAGGTGGGCAGAGATGTACACATGGGCATAAAATTTACTGTAAAACTGCTTGGATTAAGGTGGGGGATTTTTTTAGTGTTCTCTGGAAGTGGCCTTTTTCATCACGTTACATTTGAACGGAAGGTTTCCTATGCATCTCACAGAGTTTTACAATAGGTAACTGTCCGTTCTTATCATTAGAAACAAAAACTCTCCCACACCAGAGATGCCTGCACTTGTATTGTTGCGCCTGTAGACTGTATGTACATTACATCACCAGACACACCCACTGCTTGTATTGGTGTGCCATTGATTGTATACAGTACATTACATCACCAGACACACCCACTGCTTGTACTGCTGTACCATAGACTGTATACATTACAACAGTCCATTCCTCTTGCTCTTCAACTGAAATGTTTTTGTGGAAACTGTCTCCCAACTGGTGGTGTTTGTTGACACATCTATAGAGTTTGGTAAATAGGTAAGAAACAATAAATTCCATTTCTAAAAGTTTTTCCACTAAGAAGCCTGATTCTGTTATACAGTTTATCTGTACAGTACATAACCTATGGAATCAAAAGAATCTAATTTAAATTTTAAAAACAAAGAGCTTTCTCATTGAATGAATGCTCATCTTACTGCATTGAAAGCACAATGTCCGAACACTTGAACCAAAGCTTTCTAAGAATAGTCAGGTTGTGGTGTGGTGTTCTTTGATTTTGTGGAAAAACCTTTAATTTAAAGCAATGTCTTTAAGAATAAGCAGATGAATGCAATCTACAATACATCTTTATGAAGCTTTTTTATAATCTCCTTTACTATGATCAAAAAGGAAAATATTTTACTTAGATTTTTTTATAACTGCATAGTTATTTAGGGAAGAAAGCAAGGTGAACAGATCTACGTCTAACTTTGGTTCTTCGTCTTATAAGATATTCTGCAGTTCTGTTTTTTACCACAGGGAGTCAGCATTGTCAGTTGATTGATGAGGTATGTTCACTTTACATCCACTGAAGGTAATGTACTGGGAGTCTTTTCCACAGGGCTGTGGTGGGGGGAATTATGACGTGATCATTTTCATGTTTTTGTTTAAAACAAAAAATACAGAATATAACAGTACTGAAGTAATAAATTCACACTTAAATTATACTGTTTTATAATTTCTAAAACACCTTCAAAGGCCTGGTGCTTCCTGTGGTCTCAAAATACTACCTTGATGCATAGAATGTGAAAGCTGACTAAATGAAGACCCCACCAGTCAAATGTTTGATGTTCAGGTAGTTACAAAACACCATACTTATGAACAAAAATTCAAATGAAATCTTTTCTGATTTGTATTTTGTGCCCCACCCAGGTGGTTTGACCTTTGCATATTATTTGAAAAAAAAAAGTATAAAAAATTAAGGTGAAGTAGAGCTGGAGTTCAATAGAGATTACATGAAGCAAAGCAAAATTAGGGACAGTAAATGGGTTGTTGTTTCTTAAAACATGTCATTGAAAATATGGGATGCTTTTCAAACAGCTCTATCGTGAGAAGTGTAC